AGAGAGAGAGAGAGAGAGAGAGAGAGAGAGAGAGAGAGAGAGAGAGAGACTGGCCGGTACGGTAATGCTTTGGCCGTCGTTTTGCGCACATACAATAAGCAGCTTTGGCCTCGCTCTGTATTATGCTCGCGATATATTCCTCGCGCGCATTCTTTTCTGGCGGACGCGCGACGTGGCTCGCCACGTGAGGAAAGGCGCGATCCCGAGCCCGGCAGCGGCCGCAACTACTCGGGGGAACTTTCCCTCTTGATGGCACAAGAACGCGGCCGCCGGCGCATTCGGAGGAGACACGCGCACCGAATGAGAGCTGCTCGAGAGATTAGCCCGACTCTCGGCGGCGGCTCCCACGCCTCATCTCTCGCTATCGCGTCATCGCGGAGATTCAATCTCACCGGGCACAGCATCACCGTGGTCCCCCTTTCGTGCGGGCGAAGGGAGGGAGCGATACAAAACCAGCTCCGGCCGCTGTCGATTCGCCGGCGCGGCTATTTTTGCCGCGCCGCAAAAACATGCAAACTCCGCCAGGCCGCTAGGATTTATTCGCAGGCAGGGGATATCCGTCCGCGCTGCTTTCGCGCGTTTATATGGAAGCTGTGGGAGATGGGATCGCGCGGAACCTTGACAATGGCGCGATCGCGATCGTCCGTTTCGCGTCTGCAGCACCGCCGAGTCCAGCACAGAAATATTTTCCAAGACTTTCCCAGATGTGCAGTATACATTTTGATTAGAGTTCCCACATTTGTCTCAAAATTGGTTATCCCGTTACAGTACCACAATTAGAAATCACATTCTTGTCCCAAATATGCGCGGGTTTAGAATCGAGACGTAAATACTATGGGAATTAGCTTTTATTTTCAGTTGAATGTTGGTATATTTTTATGGTACGTCAAATAGCGTCTTATTTTTATACTAACTCTATTTTATTCAATAGAATAAAATATCAAAAAGTAAAATACTTTCCAGGCAATAAAATATTTTCCATATTTTGAAAACATTTTCCAGTAATAAAATTATTTTAAAAGTATCAATACGCATTTTATTCACTCCTACACTGAGAGAAATTATCCGATAAACAAACGAATATTTCTAATCAGAATATCGATGAACTTTTATATTTGATCAGGATATCCGATTAAATTTAATCGAATATTTTCGATCATAACGGCGTTTCATCAGATAAATCGATAAAAAAATTATAAACCGATATCTCACATCAGATGTTTCCTGATTATGTACAAAAATTTGTCGGTACTTTGATCAAAAATATCCGTTTGTTAGTTTCTTATCGAACAATTTTTCTCAGTGTAACGTAAAATGAAGATCAGGAAAAATATTGGGGAAACTTTGGATTTCCTCATACTGAGAGAAAGTGTATTTCTCGGGTACTTCTCACTTCAAGAAATTTACAGATTACTCGATGGAAAGTGCAAGTTCGCTTAAGAAGTCACGGTGGGTCTGTTTAACCGGTCGATATCCCGCGCACGTGGAGAATTTCATGCACGAGGTGAACTAGTATTAGCGTACCGCAGACATCTCTTTTCATTGTGTCCCAGAGGAGGCATTGTATCTCCTGTATACATCTGTCCTATTATGTCGGGCGCACCCCGGGTTCACTTGTTTTCTCGCAAACACTCGATCCTCACCGCCATATGCTGCGAGAGCGCTCGCGAGGGTTACGATCTCATCTCTCCGGGCTCGCCCTCGCCTCGCGGATGCAGGTGGAGGAGAAGAGGTAGCCCGGGCACTTAGCATTCGCGTTTCGCGCGATGACTCACGTCCGCGGGAGCGGCGCATCGCCGTATTTCAGAGAGCAGGAAACCGCGAGAGGTCCGCGGCGCATTATGAAATCGGAGATATTACGGGAGGAAGTTGTATTCCCGGCGGTCTTATGGGCGCACGCTTCGCGTAGCCGCGGCGTAAAATATCATCGTTATGCGCCGCACGGGGTTGATATTAGCCGCGCCGACGGCGCCGTCGTCGTCGTCGTCGATATTTACTGTAAGCCCATTGTTTTACGTGCATTTTACCGTCGTTGCACCGACCGGCCGGTCGCCGGTTGTGCCCGATCGTGGCGCGCGCTACCTCCAACCGATCTCCGGGGCGACCGTTGCGAAAGCCACTCGATCGAGTGACCGGCCGCGCCGCCGCAATCTCGTATCGTTCACCTTGCCTTGGAGTTGGCTTTTTTCGCCGAGCGCCCCGCGAGCACCACCGAGTGCCGCGCGATTTTCCCACCGAGTCGATTATGCAAATTAATCGAAACGTGAGCCCATTGTGAGAGAATTTCCGCCACCGCTTCCTAATGCGCCGGATTTACGGCGTGTCGGCGAAGAGTTATGGCGATTTGCTCGGTGTGACGGGACAAGTAGCAAAGACGAGAGAGCGCACGCGCGAACGAGCGATCGTAATTAATGACTCATAAACTTAGTCGTTCACGCGGCGATACAGATTACAGGAATGATGTGTTACTTGACGAATTTATCGCTGGTTGCAGGTGATACCGGCGGATCGCCGGCCGCCGGAGAAGGAGGAGACCTGGACGCTGGCTAGCGATCAGCAAGATCCGCGCGCCTTTCTCGACGACACCGTCGAGTCCAAGATCTCGAAAGCGGAGCCGCAAGATCCCGAGAAGGCGCAGACGAAGCCGCCCGTTGCGGAGGTGATCGCCGCGGATGATCATGCGGACCACAACCTGCCGCGCAGCCAAGAGACTAGAAAGAGCAAGACGAAGAAGGTGAAGAGCTACCTAAGGAAGTGCAAAGGCGCCCTGTCCAAGGGCGACGAGAGCGTCGCGGAGAAGAAACGCCAGGAGAACTGCACCTCGTGGTACTTGGAAGACGTGCCGACGTGCGCGAGCAGTCGCGAGGATCAGGACGAGTCCGCGGAGAGGTACAAGGAGTTCTCCGAGGAGAGACTCGAGCAGCAGGCCCGCGACGCGGAACCCTTGGAGAATCCTGTGCCTGAAACACCCGAAGCGAGTCTCTTTAAGGGCGAGCACCTCGACAAGACTGCGGACGAGGCTCTCGCCAGGCTGTTAGAGGAGGATCGCAGAACCGATCTCAACAGAAGCAGGACGTCCCTGTACGAGGACGCCAAGGACTCAGGCCCGGAGCAATGCGCTCCGGATGAGAAGGTCCCGATCAGGGAGCAGGAGCGATTCCACGACGAGAATGAGAAGAAGAACGACGCGGTCTCGCTCGAGACGTTGACGACGGAAGACACGAATTTGAACAAGTGCGACTCGAGCGACACGCTAATAGCAGAAACGGCGGAAACTACCGCGGATCTCGATACGGAGCCAACGATCGTCGCGGAGGAAGCGGAAAAACCAGAGGTATCCGTCGATGGCGATGAGGAGGCAGCGTTACCGGTTCCTGCGTTCTGTGGGGTAAGTTGTCTCACAAACTGTTGGTATTCCTGAGTTAATAAACGGCGGAAGAAGTTATTTTTGCAATCGCTGATCGACATTGGTCGCTGGTACACTGAGAGAAATTATTCGATTAGAAATTAACTGCAATTCTAGACAAAATCGTAACACTTGTAATTTGTTCTCGTAAGACTCGTGAGAACTTGTGAATAGATCTGCAATTTTATGCGGATCGTATGTCATACGATAACTCGTAAATATCTACGATTTCTCGTAAATCTTACGACTAACTAGAAGTTGTCAATAAAGTTATGGTTAGTGAATTTTACCAATATTACGATTGATTCGTAAGCTACGACTTTATTTACTCGTATATTTGCTTAGAATTGCAGCATAACAAACGAATGTTTCCGATCAAAATAACGATGAATTTTTGTATCCGATGAGAAATATCGGTTCATAATTTTTAGTTTATCTGACGAAGTGCGATTATGTGTGATCGGAAATATCCGATTAAATTTATGTTAAATACGAGTAAAATTTAACATAAAATATATATAATTTTATGTTAAATTACAAGTAAATCGTAAAATCGTAAAGTCATAGCTTACGAAAAAAAAAAATCGTAGATATTTACAAGTTATCATATGACATACAGTCCGCATAGAATTGCAGCATTAATCGGATATAAAAATTCACCGGTATTTTGATCGGAAATATTAGTTTGTTAAGTTTTTATCGGATAATTTCTCTCAGTGTATTCAGCCGTGACAAAATGTTAGCGGATTAACAGCATATTCATTGCAAATGCATTACTGTACATAACACGTGTACACAATATCATTGTCCCTCTTGAGAATTGAGATATTTGCTTTGCAAGTTTGTTCTATTAAACTCGTCGATCAAGTCCGAGGGGGCGAAGCGATGCGGATTTAGAGACGTCGCGAGCGCGTCGATAGCAGTCGCCACTATTGTTTCGCCGGCATGAACTTTCATAATAGATAGGCGAGCAAAAGTTTACGATCGCGGATGATATTAAATCTGCTTGATGGCCGTGCCCGATAAATCGAATTCCCGTCGTTCGGCGACTATAGTCGAGACTAACGGCGCCGAGGGACGCGTATATGCGTGCAAAAGGAACGAACAATGTCCATTCGAATACAAACCACAAGCACGGTAACCACCGCGCGCGCGCGTGGTGGCAGTAAAGCAAATTGCAACACATACCGGGCATAGGCAGAGGAAGGCTTCCCCGTTCGTAATTTATGCTCTTACTCTTAATGCGCTACCAGCAATGATTAAAACGTAATTTCCACGGATAGGAAGAAATACGGCGTACTCGCGTTTTTCATCGTCGTGATTTACGGCGCTTCATTTTCCATCGTTATGATTTATACCGGCGATCGGTGCCTCGCGAACGTTCTCGCGAAACCGCGGTGTCCGATTCAACGTACATTTTATCGGATGTCTAATAGCTAGTATGTAGAATTTCTCGTGAAAGTCGCTGCGATGGGTGATCGTTGTAGGAACGGAAAGATTTCTGTACACTGAAAACAATATTTTTAGATGAAAAAGTTATTGGAATTGCTTTTTTTATCTTCCTTTTGATTTTAAAAGAATCCGCGAAGGAAGAATCCGCTAAGGACGAGATTATATTTTTTGGGGCATTTTATTGTCACTTTTATCATTGTTCATTTATAATATTCAAACAACAGAGGAACAAAATTCGTGTAAGTTTTTTCCATAACAATTTTCATATGTTAAGCGACCAAAGTGTATCCGCTAAATTCCATCGTACCTTAGGATTTTGTATACAGAAAAAAAGATTTGGTTCAATTAACCAAATATCTGGTCGAATATAAACGATCCAGAAATTCCGATTGAAGTAACCCGAATTCTGTTTAAGTCAACCAAACATCTTGTTAACTTAAACAGAATTCGGGTTACTTCGATCGGAATTTCTGGATCGTTCATATTCGACCAAATATCTGGTTAATTCAACCAAATCTTTTTTTCCGTGTACAATCAACGATTTATCTCGGAGAACATCACGTGAAGAGCAGCTCGCGAGCTGAATAACGAAAGAAGTGCCGGCAAGTTTCAGAGTCAAGAAAGAGAGTAGGACCATTATCGATGCATGTGTATACATCGATATCAGCTCGTTCAGCTCGTAGTGCGCCGCGTGGAATTTGGCGTGGGCGTAACGCGCAGGATTTGTCTCCTTTATCGATCGCGTCTCGCCGATGACAATTCGTGCGAGGAAACATGACTCGACGTATATATCGGATACAGAGCGTTACTTCGCCTAACGCTTATGACATCCTGATTGAAAGTTTAAGCATCTCGACTTTCTCTGCACGACCTCATCCAGAGACATGCCCCCGCGCCACTTGACTTATTCACATTAATGCACATCGTATAGAACTAAAGTCGCTTATCTTATCCGCGCATTAATACCGTCTGTGTGAGATCCCGTGTGAGAAAATACACATTTTTTTAAAACCTTGACTTTCCATGAAAACAATTGGCCGTAGTTATGCAAGAATGATTCAATCCATATGGAATATATTTCGAGAAAAATGAAGACAAAGATTTGATTCAGAAAATATAAATAACACTAAGTTTCTCTTTCTCTCTCATTCACAATTGTTCAAAAAGTCAAGTATGGTCAATTTTCTTTTCTTTAATCATATTCGTTGATAAGCTTAATCTTTTAAAAAATGGATAAAAAAGACGCAATTAATAAAAATGACGCAACTAGTAGAAAATAGAAATTTCCTTTTATTTATATTTAGATGCCTATAAAGTTTAGATCTTTTTTGTTGTGAGTAGATAGAGATATATTAATAGAATGGTGTAAAACGAAAGTATCAAGTAAAGTAGAAAGATCAAGCAACTTTCAATGCCGTTTTCACGAGATCAACTGAGTCAACTGAGAGTCAACTGAGTTTCGAGTAACTCAGTCATATTTATATATTTACAGAAAAAGGAATCTTGTCGAATCTTGGGTAATGAAAAGGTTTTTATTGGAACTACTAATTGCATGGTAACATCCGGCCATTGTCAATTTGAAATATTTGCGGTGAGAACTCACGATCGGGAAGTAAGCGAATTGGCATGAGGTTTCGGCAGCTAGGTGGGTACACGATCGAACACGGTTCTCTCTCCGGAGAGAGAACTCGGCGTGGTCGCCGCCGATGCACGCCGTCCGCCGCGTGGAGTGCACGTGGTGACTCTCGAGCGACCGCGCAACCAGCCGTGGTCCAGATAGATCACGTCCGATATAATTAATGAGCACGACCCGCAATTCCCATACACACCTCCGTCTCGCCGGGTCCGCCCTAACAAGTACCTCGGCGAACCCGGTCTAACCTAGGCTAACCCGCGGAGCCACGAGGCCGGACTCCAACCGCGCGGCGAGGAGGCACTATGTAGGTATCTGGGTGAGAGAGTCCGCGTTTTCCTGCTCGCGATTCCTCCGGGCAAAAATCGGCAATTACGAGTCGATACGATCGTGCGATCGTTAGGTGTGCAGACGGCTCGTTGCTGGATGACTCACCATCACGTGAACGGTGATTCCTAATATTGATCGATAATAGGATCGATTGTGCAGCGGGAGAGATCGCTGTGTATGAAATTATTATTGAAATACTTTTAACGTTGATCTCAACAATCCTTTTCTTCTTTGTTTGTGCACGAGGAGAATTTTATAGTAAAAATTGCCAGAGAATTTTGTAACCGAGGAATAAATCGACATATTATAAAAATTGACTATCTTTTCATTTCATATACTGTGAGAGAAGAGATATATAAAAAATTAAAAATATTGATTTACAATAGGTATTAAAAATAACATTTACTCAAATCTAAATTCTTTTATTTAATTAAAAGGAATAATTGATCGTAATTATGCAAGAATAATTTAGCTCATAAAAATACACTGAGAGAATTTATCCGATAAAAAATTAACAAACGGATATTTCCGATTAAAATATTGAAGAATTTTTTATATCTGATCGGGATATCCAATTTAATTGGATACTTTCGATTATAACTTCATCAGATGAAAAAATTATGAACCGATATTTCTTATCGGATGGATCACATAAAAAATTCAGTGGTGTTTTGATTGGAAATATACGTTTGTTAATTTCTTGTCGAATAACTTGTCTCAGGATATTATAAGGCGTTCCTCGTGTGTATGAAAAATTGACGATTCAAAGTAACTTTGTAAAACGTGTGATAAGATCAATAAGACAGACATTTTTCGCAATTGAATTGCGCCGATCGATTGGCGGGTTCACGACTTATTTCCGATCGAGATAACGCGTCTCGATTCAGCACGCGTGTGTCCGCGCGCTCATTCGCGATCGATCGTTTGGTTGCAATTCAGTGCAATCGGTAACCATCTACATATAGCGGAACTCGGTTTTTCTAACGGGCCGATCTGACGCACCTCGCGGAAAGACGCGGAAGTCCCATGGGTGGCGTGCGAGTTCGTTCCACTTGTCTCTAGACGAGCGAACGACGACGAGGTCTCCAGGCGATGTATAGCGGGGCCCCGCGAATAAGCACGGTGTGTATCCACAAGGTGGTTGCGTTTACACCGCCATTAGTTCGCGGCGCGTCGTTGACGTTCACCGCGCGCTCGCGAATGCGCGCCACGCACGCGTATGCGTACGACGCATACGCACATTACGGGGTGGCGTAAATCTGGCCGGTCGACGGTGCCGATCGCCGCTGAAACGCTACCCGATCATCAGTCGTGAAAGTGTAGCCGCGGAAAATGATTGCCCGCGCCGGTTGTGCTCGCTGCACACGCCCGCTTTCCTCTCTCTGCCTCTCTCTCTCTCCTCCCTCTCTCTCTTTTTCTCTCTCTGCGGATCCGTCTCTGTTACTCTCTCTTCGCTTCTTGTCTTCCTCTTATGAAGGAGTCTCTCTTTTCGAGACACGCACACCTGTACGGGGTGTCTCGCGCGATTCTGCGTCGTGTATGAGAGCGAAACGGTTGGAACACTTTT